ATGGCCCATCAAATAATGGGTTATTTGTCAATTTGAAAACTTTGTGCGTGAATTTGTCCTATTTTTGCTCTGGTGGATTCGTCCTTGCTGCTATACTTTGGGGTGGATTTGGGCATTTTGCCAAACAAATGGGGTTATGCAAATGAATCAACAATAGAATAGGGGTTTGATTGAGGAGGAAGCTGGAGTGGTAGGCTAATCGCCGATTGCAGTAGGAATAAAAAATTTTAAATTTCTAAAACCCCCATCCCACATATACAAAAATCCTCTACCCTAGTCCAACCTCAACCTTAACCCCATCCCTATCCCTATCCCTATAACACCTAAATGAAAGCTTTAAATTAACCAAATAGAAATATACCCAAGAAAAAAGAAAAAAAGAAACCTTTAAATCAAATATCTTACTTCAGTCACCACCATCAGAGCCCCATTAATTTGAAACGTTATACCCAATCTGAACACTGCTGTAATTTGAATTATGAGACTGTAATATGAAAATTTTAAAGAAACACTTAACCTTCATTTGTGTAGTTTAAATTCAAAAAAAAAAAAAAAAAGGAAAAACTTGTTTGCTAAATTGCAAGAAAATAACCTATGAACACAGAGTCGATACAATTGAGGTTGGAAAGAGCAACCATAACAAGATTTTGAATAAGTGGGAACTTAGGGACATGAATAGATGATAGTCGTACATTTATGTACTCTTTTGAGTGCACTTTATAAGTTACTATCTCCAAATCTATTTCAAGAAAGTACTAAATATAATTCAAGAAGAATAAATTGCGAAAATATATTAAAAGAATGAAAGATTAGAACTTTTGGGGGAGTTAGCCTAACATTGGCCAAAAAGCCCAAAGGAAGCCCAAGGAAAGCCCAAAGGCAAAAGAGTCAATAGTTCACCCATGTGCTAATCAACACATGGACCAATTAATCAATGACATGTGGCACACATGTCATAAATGAGGGCTATAAATACCCACATCTATCTCCATGCAACGTAATAACTCTACTACGCTTCCTTTTTTGCAATATTTCAGTCTTTAGAGCTTCTCTCTCTAGAATATTAATCCAAGTCCTCTATAGAGTTGTTGTGAACCTTAAACAATCTTAGATCTTGAGTGACCTCCTAAGTCACCCCAAATTCAAAGTCACCTCATGAGCAGCCTAAATCCTTAATCTACTCCTAACTCTCTTGGACCCTCCCCCTTTATATATATATATATATATATATATATATCAACAAACCCTTTGCAGGTCTTCTTGATCGAACGTCTCTTTCGTATCATCCATATCTTTTATGTGCATAACTTACCGTACTGCTATAAATTTTTTTTGAAATCTCTAGTTTCTCATTAATTTATTGGGTTATATTTTTCAACTTGGCTCATAATTTTATACTGCATGCAAGTTTGCACTTTTGCTCTATACCGTTTCATCATGTTGTCTTTGGCCCTTCGGGTGAAATATCAAGTGAACTGAGCTGGCTGTTCAATAACGATGTGCTACTTTTTGTTCATTACCTACGTTGGAGATAAATTTCTCTTTTATTTTGAACATTCTTTGATTGTTAATTCAGACTTCTTTGGTATTTATAATCTTTATGCTGATGAATGCATCTCTCACATTCTTTACTGGGAATCGATATAGTACATGGTTTTCAACGTGTTCTTGAGCATGTTGAACTTGCACAACTTGAATTTATCATGTAATCATGATTTTCAGTTTCTTTGATTGTTTGCTGAATGAAAATAAATTAATGAACTTTAAAAGGCCTTTATTGAACGAGTTGACTTACCATAGACTGCTGAACTGAAGTCTAATACTTAGCGTTCTATGACCCCTCCCAAATCTAGAAAGAATGCACTGTTATGAGTTAAAGACTTGTGTTGGCTAACGTCGAAATGCTGGTGCTAGGAAAATTTGGATAGACCTGCTGGTGATCCCTTTTGGACCTTACTTGAGAGGGAATTAGATGGCATATATATAAGTTTCAAAGAATCATTGCACTCAGCTTTCAGGTACAAACCTTCAGCTGTTAGAAAACTCAAGACATTCATTGCCTATGTAAGATCAAGATCCTACTATAAAGCTCGTTTCATGAGGGAGAAGTTACACACACAATTACACTACAAGATTAAGCACGAAGGTCATAAGAGGGTTAAGCAACTAAATAGTATATTACACGTTACTAGATATTGTAAAATCATTACCCTCAATCTACCAACAAAGATCCTCTGGAATGAAAAACCACAGAAAAAGCTTTCTTGGACTCCCTAATCACCTACTAGCTTGATTGGCAAAAAAAAAGAGGAAATATTTTCCAAGAAGTTAGTTTCTACAAACCAACACACTCTAACAAAAATGTGTTTCAATTGATTGAAGGTTTAGGCAAAGAAAAACTAGGTAGAGGGTGGAGTAAAGGAGGGCAAACTCCTTATTTGTGATTTATTGGAAAAAGGAAGGATTTGGTGATGGTCAATATGGAAGAGGTTAAGAGTTTAAGGCTTTTACTATGGAGAATATAATGTGTAGGTGGTCATGATAATAAATTGCATCATGAATTAATTAACTTTTACTTACCATGATAATAAATCCACCTCCCTGGTCCACTCAAAGGTGTAAGGCCATCTATACTGGGATTTGAGAATTCATCAAATTCACATGTGCTTGATGAGGCCAAACTCTCTACAAATGGAAATGGAACCATGCCAAACTCAGAAATGGTTAAGCCAAGGCCATTGATTGAAATCTTCCTTACTAATACATCTTTAGCATTGTAAAGAAATAATTCTGCATCTCCATTCCATTCAGTTGCTAAAAGCTATCCATCCCTAGTATAATACACAGAGAAGCAACTGTATAAGGGATAACAACATACTAGAAGAGCGAACAATTTGTTCCAAGATGTTCTATACATAGTTTCTTTCATTACCCACACATCACAATAACTATTATGTTTAGGGTCGGTAATGCTTGTCAAACTGAGATAATCTCCCAAAATTCCCAAAACACATTGAGCTCCACACAAGGTCTCATCATTTGGAAAAATGTCTCTTCACACATCCTCTCTTTCTCTAGATCAAAACATACCATGAAACACTTTAGATACCTACCATCATTTTTCTATTTTTGGCCAATCCAGTAGATGTAGCCATTAGCAGCCTTCCTTTTTTCTTCCCCAACATGAAAAGGCTCGTGTATGTCACTAACAATAGCATTCCACAAACCCGTCTTCAACCTCAAGCACTGGATGGTTGTTCATCCTTTGTCAAGCAAAATATTTATAACTTTGTAATCATCAATGGTGGAATCAGAACCAAAACCCAAACCCATACCATTATATTAAAAGTTTGGCTTGGAAAGTGCTGGAAATCTCTTACTTGACTTGGTTGAAAGGGTTCCAAACTACAACTCTATTAGTGTGAGGGATGCATAGCATACAATCGCACTACGTTATCCTATCGGTTATTCTTACAAGTCTCATTACAATGGGAGTCGAAGTTTGTACTACTTGAACAACAACTTCACAACCCTCTAGATTATTGGGGATTGTCACTGTAAAGAACGCTATGTGGCAACGGTAAGCATGGATAATGTCCAAACCATTAGTATAAAGAATAAAACTCTAGCCACCCCTTTTAGACTCCACTCCATAATTTTCATATGAGCTTTAATGAATTTTGAATTAGAAGTAAAAGATTACATTCTCTAAATACGCATTTAAATAGCATCAAAGATTTAATTGGTAGTCTCATAAGAATATCAACGACAATATCATTAGAAAAATAACCTACACTTAAGGAAACCTTTGTTTTTTTCGATATTGAGTTGCACAATAAAGAAATAACTTCCTCTCACCTTTTTAATATCTTACTCAAGTCTAAAAAAGCCCTTAACTCACAAGATTGAATGGAATTAACAATCAAACATCATATTTATAGTGATTCCAATTACAAATTATAATGGAATTACTAGAATTTAAGACTCTATCTGCATTCATAATTCAACTTCAATTAAGAGACAAAATTACATACAATTCTAACTAAAAGAAGAAATTCCCTTGTTATTCCTTATTCCTTCTCCTTTTCTAGTTCTTCTTCCTCTGTTTCTACACTCATTGGATCTTCGATCAATCTGAACAAATTAGGTTCTCAACTAATGAAAAGCTAAATGCTAATTTAGTCCCTAGGCTTTTAATTTTGAATATTTTTTATCCCTCAACTATTTCAGCACTTTTTTAGTTTTTCGACTTTATAAATCACCTTCTTTTTTCATTTAAGTAGTGATATGATCACTAACTCATTTAAAATTTTATTCTCTCCTTTTTTTTTTATGACAGGTCCATCTCGATTATAAATAAATCTCTTAGCAAAGCTAGACAATAAATGTGTTTATGTTGCAATTTTAGTTTAAATAGATAAAATAATAAATTAAAAAACTAAAACTATCATAAATTAAATTTCTTTATAAGTTAAAATATTAAAATTTAAAAAATATCAAAAAGACCCTTAAAATTTTCTTCTTCCTTATCATACTTCTTCACCCGTAAAACACATTTTTGGGCACTATTAATTCGCATAGGCTAATTTAATGAGGTTTCATTGCCACATAATAATAAAAAAAAAAAAAGTATCATTTGGAATTGAGTTAATGGTCTCATCAATTACTAATTGCACAAAACACGAAAAAAATGCAATTTGTAGAGTTAAGGAACTAAAAAGTTATTCAAAATAGTTTAGAAACTAAAAGTGTTTAAAATTAAAAGCTTGGGCATAAATTTTAGCATTTAACCTTTTATTTTCCTAGTAAAAGATATGCATGAAAATGTATTCTTGCTCCACTAAATATCAACAAAGCACCAGTGGTCTAGTGGTAGAATAGTACCCTGCCACGGTACAGACCCGGGTTCGATTCCCGGCTGGTGCAGATGAGCCATGAGGAAAAATTGCAGTGATGGAAGGGTCCGTCACAATCATCTGATTTAAGATGAGAAAATTACATCCGAGCTCAAACTTTTTTTCTAATTTACCACAAGAATAGAGGGAACCAACAAAATTAAGTTACATAATAATATTTCCTTTTCCAATTCTTTGTTTTGATTACTAATTTATAAAAACCTTAGCTACATCGTAATAGGAGTAAGATCTTATGTTAGCAACCATAAACATTCAGACATGAAGAAGTAGGTTCTACTGAAATTTTCTATACTTCCTCGCTACAACTTTGATTCCCAGCCTTTAAAATGTTGAACTTGCAAAGAGGGCAGGTAGCGTTGATGAACAACCACTTGTCTATACAGGTACAGTGGAAATGGTGATGACAAGGGAGCTCACGCAGTTCTGTTCCATCTTCATAAGCAGAAAGGCAGACGCAACATTCCTACAACATCATTTGCAACAAATATTCATGCCAGGACAAGGTGGAATTACATACATATTCTTAAAATGACTAACGAATCAACTAGGAGCATATCCTGGTGGATGCCACTCACTTGGAATATGCAGCAGAAAGTATGTTTATGTGTTGCAGGTATCTATGGTGTAATAGCTATTACTTGCTACAATTTTAAACATATGAGAAAGGATCATATATCAGTATGAAAGCACTTACAGCATCCTCACGGGAAAGAACACGTTCAGGAGAGTCGGCGTTGCATTCAGTCATTATCCCACCATGAGATTCTTGAATCTCGCCATGTACTTTTTCAGAATCACCCATGCTCTTGAATTTGTACTTGGGCAACCTATGGATCTCTTCCTCTGTAGCTCCTTCCTATTAACAGATGGAAGAGACACACAATCAGAGAACGAATCTCCAAGAAAGGGGACTAGAATGGAAGCATATTAGTCTATGTAAGGGTGATTTAGTGCTTCATAAAATGACAAAAGAAAAAAGCAAGCACAAGCAACCAGCCAAGAAATGTCGCAGACAGCTCATAACTCACTTAGAAAGTACTGGTGCGAGAATCAAATGTAGAAATGAGATCATTGCTGCAATCAATTGCATTTGTGCCCTTGACAATTATTGCCTTTTCCTCAGAATCGATTAGATAATAGTATTTAAACTTGGCATTAAGCAGCGTTGCATCTTAATAAATTTTACAAAAGAAAAAGCAAATATTTTATCCAAAAATATAAGCATGCAATTGTGCAGGACCTGCAGGTAACGGCAGAAATTATGTGGCAACAAATTCTCCCAATGGCGAAAGTATCCCAAGACATTATAACATTGGAAAGGTTCTACACTAATCAATATTACTTGATAAATAATCAAGAAGAAAACATCAAAGAGCACTAGGAAAGATGCCCACCATAGTATCTTAGTTCATCAAACATCAAATATGTAAATCAAAGCCAGTAAAGTCCAAGACAGGTTTCTCCACTGCAGCTCTAAACTAAAAATCCTTTTTGCAAACTTTAATTGTACAACAACATTTATCCAAGACTATGTGATTCAATTTTAACATAACATGAAAAATTGGAAATCCACCTATAGAAAACATGAAAAGGCATTCATGCCTTCACGGATCTTACAGAATCAAACAATTTTAGTAAGCACAGAGATAGTGAAATACCCGGTCTGTCAGAGCATATAAGATGGCTATTATGCATGGAAGGCAGCAGCAAACAGCTATACCAATGAGACAGGCAGCAGCAACACAGATAACAACAAAGACCACATCGAAAGCAAGAAATGCAACACAGAGCCTGTAAAAACCCATCTATAGTCAATAACTTGTAATTCAAAGGAACAATAAGCAAAAGCTGAGAGAGCAAACCATAGGAAAGGAATTACTCATGAAGCATACCAATAAAGCAGAGGGGAATCATGTGTCAGAGCTCGGCTATCCTCAGTTACCCAATAGAACCCAATGATCCACCAGATGAATGAAAACATTGTATTTGTAGACTCCAGACACTTTACAATACTGCAACGTCGAGTTTAAGGACTTAAACATTGCATGATTCTCAAAAGCAAGTTCAAAGATATAGTCTTTAATGCTGAATTCAAGATAATCCGAGAAAGCCAACTTAAATAGAGATTAATCTCACATAAAAACAATATGAAAGAAACCTTACTTGGTTTCATTTTCGCTATGAAAATGCTCTGTGGAAAAATCCTCAGAGTCCTCTGGATCATTCCCAGTCCCAGGAACGGAAACTGAGCTCGAAATTGAATCCGCACCACTTTCCAATCCCAAAACCCTCCCTTGCCGCCTTCTTCTGTATTCGGTGATTATGCATCCGACGTGAATCAAACACTGAAATACATACCCGATTACCCACACTCTCAAAGGGGCGCAGGGGTTCTCCTTCATGCTCAGTCCCAGCACCACCACCGCTAGCAAGATAAACATCAAGTTCCAAAGGACATCAAGAACTATAATGGGTTTTGAATACGCCCAGTCGCTCTGGCGCTCTTCCAGTTGCTCAGCCGCGGTTTCCCGGACCAGGATCGATGACTCGCGAAGCATCATGCGGCGGCTGCTGGCCCGGCGAAGGAGCCTGGCAGCCGCGCCACGTAACTGAGGAGGCGATCGGCGGAGAAGGCGGCGGCTTCGCAGCAGGTGGTCGGCCAAGGAGGGGTTCAACAGCGGTGACGTGTCCACCGCATCTGACGAAGGTGAAATTGGAGTGAGTGAGTTCGACGGGTGCATAATTTCCTTTTCCTTCCCCGGCCGGGGATTAAAGCTTCAAAATTGAGCAGAAAGACTGAAAAATTGAAGCTTTGAATTTGAAGGGAATGATTGTAACTAATCGAAGTCAACTGAAACTCATCTGAGTTTTATGTTTCAAAGCTTAGGATGGAAGATAAATTTTGGGGATTGGATTAAGATTATGGTTTGAAACTTTGAATTCAGACGGGAGACTGGTAGTTGGCTCTGGGTCTTGTCTTTAACTTTTACGGAGAATACGACGACCACCGGAGCAGACGACGGAAACGTCAGCAGCAGCAGTTATGGGGATTCCTTAAAGGACCCGCGCAAGACTTCTACGAGGAACACGTGTCATCAATTATCCGATGGCGAAATATTTAATAAAAAAGAGTTTATTGCTTCTTTTTTTTTTTCATTACATATACGGAGCATGTATATGTAGATTTATATAATGAATATCTCTTGCAATAGAATTAATTAGTTTAAAGATGGTATAGGGATAATTTTTTTATTTTTTATTTAATTTTTATATATTATTAAATAAATAAATATATTTAAATTATGAGTTTCATATAAATTTAAAAAATTAATTATTTTAATAATATATTAAATTGTATAAAAAAATAAAATAAAATAATTATATAAAAATCATTTTCTTTAGTTTAAATATATGAGGAATGCTAAATGCAGTCGCTTTTTTCTGCACACTCTTAACACTCTCTTATGTAAAGTAGCCACGTGAACTTTTTGACTAAAAACTTTGAATTGTGAGACAAAGATTACTACGTGGCCATTTTAGATGAGAGAGTGTTGGAGAGTGCAAGAGAAGGGCGATTGCACGTAGCAGTCCTCTAAATATATATAATTAATTAAAAATAATATCTATTTATCTTTTTTTTTTTAAATTAAGATAAAAATATTTTAAATTATATGAATTGTGAGACAAAGATTACTACGTGGCCATT